ATATATAGGTTGCTCAGCCAAGCTTGTGTTTATATTGTAATTTGTAACTATCATGTTGTAATTAGACTTGACATAATAAATTCACTCCTGTAACAGAGGCCGTCAAGTTGCCGGATTCTAATTCAAACAAAAAGCCGGGAATTTCTGAACCAACTCATGCTATGGAGTCACTTTATTCAGAGAAGGAGAAGGATGATCCCCCTCAAAGTAGTGTCACTCAAAACAAGAAGATAGAGCCACCTGAGTCAAGACAGGTCACTGGGTTAGAAACAAAGCAAGTGAGGGGATCTCTTCCTGATGACTTCTTCGATAAGGATGAAACCAATTTAACTGTGAATGGCATGAAGCCTGCTAGGGATAATAAACAGAAATCAATGCAGGCCACTGCTCCAGAAACCAAGCAAGCAAAGGGAGCTCTTCCTGAAGGATTCTTTGACAATAAGGAAGCTGATTTGCGAGCTCGTGGCATTAAACCGGTTAAGATAGATGTCAAGTAAGTTCCTAGTTTGATGCATTAATGCATATTTACAGGCCATTATTTTCTGACTTGAATCTTATATACCTTCTCTTGCAAAATAATATTTCTTTTGTAAAATTTCAAGGATTAAGAAACTATGCTAAATACATTTACGCTAGTGTTCCTACTTTGTCCTTATATAAATAACACAGCTATTTTGTGCTCTTTGTAATTAGCTGATGGATAGATATGATACTGATATATTAAGTCCATAACTAAGTTGGTCTTGAGAGATTAATTCAGCTCTCAATTTACATGAATCCTAAATATTTGATTGAACATTGAAGAATCAAATAAAAATTAGGATAATTTTAGTCATTTTAGCTGTCGCAAAATAAAAGTAATTTTATCTCTCTAAGAACCAGGATAGAATCCCACATGGGACATCCAATTGTTTTTGTCCTTTTAGCTTCTTCTTCTTCTTCTACTTCTTTTTTTTTTTTCAAATGTGTAGTTTAAAAGTCACCATTCCTAGATTTTTTCTTTCCATCTACAAAGTGGTTACAATAAGGATAGTTATAGTACAAGGGAGTTGTTGGAATTTTGATAATAATATGGTTATTGACTTTGTCCATGGCCAATTTTTTAGGGGCATCTCAAAATTAAAATAAAGACATACTTCGCTGTTCCCAATTATAAGATCATAATGCTTCCATGGAAGATCTATGTCCTTTTGTTCCCTGTACAATATGTGTTGTTCAGTACAAAGGTATTAGTGGATGCCTCAGAGAACTCAGATTAAGTTATTTGTAAAAAAAGAATTGTTGTCTAGGTGGAGGTTAATTTTATTTATATAAGTGGAGTATATGAAGGATTCTTGAATCTTAAAGTCATTGTTAATATCTTCACAGTTTTCTTTGTAGAAGTTATATAAAATGTTAAATATAATTGCACTTTGTGGTTGTTTTAAGATGATTTGTTTCCTGATCCAAATTAATAGGTGATTGCTAAACCATGGTTGCCGGTGTCATTAGTGGACTGGTTGAGTTATTCTTCTATGATTGGTCAAAGTAATAAAACTTTATTGACATCATTCTGTGATCGTGTTTTCTTCTGGTAGACATGGATGGGTGGTTTTATCATTTAAGAAACCGTTGAATTCACACACATCCAAAGAGGAGTGGCAGTTTGTATGACTCTGTGAACTTTTGGATTTGGCACTTGTCTTGGTGCTCTTGCAATGAGACTCTGGAGACAGGGAATGTTAACTTGCATGTTTAGGATATAACAATTATTTTTTTTTGGGTAGTGGTAGAATCATTCATTATGTTAGCTGGTGGCAGTGATACTTAAGTATGCCATTATTTCAAAATTGATGTTGATGAGTTGTTAATCATGGTGTGTAGATTTGCAATAACATAATCTGCTCTAAGAAAATTTAGGATGGGGAAACATGCTTGTAGGAATTAAAACTTTTAATTTAGCCGGGGTTGAGTGGGTATAAGATGATATATTTTCTGTGGAAAGAGTGCTATAGTCAAACAATAGAGATATGCAGCATTCTGATTGATTCATTCCTACTCTGAGGAGCTTATGGAGGATGGAAATTTGCTAGTCTAGAGATTAAGTTATCTAGGACGTTATTTTATATTTTACAGGTTCAATTGTAATCTTTACATATACTTAGGCTTTTCTAGATTTAGGATATTGTATATTAAGTAGTATTTTGCTTCTTTTCTGAATATTTGGGTTTGACGGCTATATTTGGTATTTTGGAATTAGACTTTTGGGTTTAGTTATATATACCTATGTTGGCTTGGGTTTATGAATTATTGATATTTTCGGGATATTATAGTATTAGAAATTGATATTTGAGAATTCAGATTATTTCGTGAGTATTTTGAGTTTTTATCCTGCTCTGCATCAGGAGCATAAAGTTCCCAAATGCATCATGATTTGCACACCTTGCTCAGATATTATTTTAAATGTTGTTGGCTCAGTGCATGTATAGGTCAAATAAACCTTTTCCGTCAGGCAAAAAGTTCTGATTTTGTGGATATTTGAATAATTAAGTGTGTTTGGTGCACAAGATTGATGGAGAAGTTAGGATAAACCATTTTTTGCTACTTACTTTAAGTGGAGATGAGTATGAAAAATAAGATGACTCATCTTCCTAGTACGAAATTTACTCAATCCTATCGTAAAGGAGAGGATTCCTATGGGCTAGGATTGTGGATTAGATACCTTATTTTTATGTTTTCTATTCTAACCTTAAGAACTTGCTTTTTCTTTAAAAAAAAATTGTATTTATTATACAACGGTATAGAAAGTCATGACATTTGACCAATGATAAAATAATCATTCATTCTTAGTATTGTAGGCACCAAACATGGTATATGATAAAATAAGTTTTTATGATTACTAAAGAATAAATTACTTTGTACCCAATTAAAATGTAAATGGACTGTTAAATAGTTGTACAATTGCTTACATAGTAGTTAAGAACTCATAATAATTATCATCATCATCATTAAAGTCTCAAGTGTTTTAACGGTTACTAAAGAATAAATTACTTTTTAATTAAAATATAAATGGATTGTGAACTAATTGTAAATAGTGTACAAAGTATTGAACCAAAATTAAAAAAAAAAAAATACATCATCACCCCCATGAGACTTAAGACATAGGTGTGTTTTTTTTTTTTATGAACCTTAAATATTCAACAATTTTTTGTGTAGAATCTTTTGTATTTCCCCTTCTTTCTTTAGGTGGCGTGAATTAATTACATTTTGGTACTAAAATATTTATTTTGCAGGATAATCTTCTCTAGCAATTTAAAAATTAAAGGAAATTAAGAGAAATGCACGAATATGAAGTCACTGCATGCTAGAAGCCACTGTGGTGTTTTATACATGATAGACTAAGAAGTTTCATGAGATCTGGAAATTTTTAGTTGCACTGATTTATGTCCTTCAGATTTAATTTGCAGTAGATAGTAGGTCCAAACTATCTACTATTTGTATATGTTTTTTTTGGAACAAAACTCTGAATTGATTTTGCATCCTGATCAGAGATGAGTACAAGGAATTTGAAAAGTTGATTCAAGAGGATTTGCAAGAGGTGGATGATCGCATGGAAGAAGAGGAGGTGAGGTCTTTTTATCTCCTCACAGTGCTCACTCTGGCTGTTTTTCTGCCTTGTAATTCAGCTACTCTACAGACTTGAATAATAATCTGTTGTTTCAACTTGCAGATTGATGCAGCTGAAATGATAGAAGAGGCTGAATCTTTGGAGCAAAAGTAAGTTTATTGTGCCTGTCAGAGTTTGTGGCACTGTCATCCACCTTTTCATTTTTCACTGTGAATAAAAAGCAACTTATTATTCTCTTCACCCATTTTATTTATCTTTTCTCCCCCTTCAGGGTTTACAAGGAGAAAGTGGAAATGTTGCGGAAGAGGAAACTGGAGTTGCAGGCCACTAGATTGAATAAACGTGGTAGGACAAAAGCTGATAGCAAGGAATCTAACAGTGAAGAGTCTTCTAGTGATGATGACAGCGATGAGAATTTTGCAGTTGATTGGAGAGCTCAACATCTTTGAAGTCTGTGGCAAACATGGGGTTAGTACTCCTTGGAAGTGTGCATTTTAATGAGAAGTTGCTGACTACAAAAGGAAAACTAGTAAAAGAGGGTGTCTGTTGTTTTGTGTTCTACAAATGTGGATTTAGACATCCAGAAAGAAATATAGCTGAAACTGTGAGTGCTTTTATCTTCTTTAACATTGACTAAAATATTATTTTCCAAATTGTGTATTTCAGATGGGTTTTTCGTATAAGCTACTTTTCCCTTTTTGCACTCCCTGTTCTTAATTACAATTTAAATAGGGCAAAGCATACAGAAACAAAGATGCAAAGTGCTTTGTGTTAGTAAAAGAAGTCCAACAGTTTTTGTCCAAGCACAAATTTGTGTCCCTTAAAATTTTTTTAATTCTTATCTTTTCTGCTGATGCTGTTGCAGATTTAGCAGTTAGATCAAGACCCAAGTACATTCTATCGAGGTTTATATCACACAAAGCAGATGAGCCTTGTCTTTTCAGGTTTATATAATCATTCACCTAAGTGGCATAGCATCCATGGCCTTTGTATATAAGTTGGCTCATCAGGTTGTCAAAAGTTTTAATTAGTGACTTTTCTTCATAGACGGCTTCTTGTGGACTGATCACTTGTAAACCTGGTTTACAGCTTCAATGAGGATTTCTCTTTTGACTTGTATGGTTTTGACGCCCAGCAGAAAGCTAATTGGAGTTGGGTTTCGGTTTATTAAAGATGTAATGTAGTTTGTCAAGAGTAACCTGATGCAAAGGAAGATGGTTCAAATTTCAACTGGTTCTGCATCTTGATTCTGATTCTATTGCCTCAGCTCTTTTCCTTTTGTCAAAGAGGATAAGGAATCCAAAGGCTATGCCTGATATTGGTCTTAACAATATATTAAATAGGAATGGCCATGTTTTGCACAGATTCATTTCATCGTAACCCTTTCCTAAATTAGGTTCACGCACTTGTTAGGCGGTGTATTTGGTAGGTTATGCAATTGAATGAGTCTCGGGTTTCGACTTTATTTATTTTTCATGGTATAAGAATCAGTTATCCCATAGTCATTTTTTGTTTGTGTTACGAGATTATTATTTTTCTTTAAAAGAGTATTCAAATAAATTTTCACGTTTATAAGTTTCTCAAAATTTACTTACTAAGTTCGATATGAGATCGAAACATTTCATTTATTACTTCTTTTGAAGAATTGGCACTATTTTCATCATTGTCGGTTATCTTATCTCTTTCTAAATGTGTAATGTCCATAGTCATAAATTTATCTAAATCTCTTTATCTGATTGATCCGGAATTAAAACATTCTATTTATTTTCTCTAAAATGCGTGACATAGCTTTCAAGTTGGTAATTAATTAACAAATCACTTCTCATTTCTCATATGATCTCTTATTAGCTAGGAGAAATCACTATTGTTTTCAATGTGCGGCCCAGTCATATGACTTATACCTACATATTCAACTCGCTAAGAACAGGCTGCTTATTACTTACCCATGAATAAACAAAAGGTGCTTATAAAGCCAAGCCTAATCAACTTTAGTTTCTTAAATATATCCATAAAATATATACATAAATTAAGATTATTTACATTCTATGTTATAATATTTTGTTTCTTTGGAGGGTTGACTTTGACAATTTATCCAAATTAACAAGTAATTTTTTTTTGTTTTAATATTGAGAAATATCAAGTTCTTTTTACTCTTCTGTTATTTGTCCCATCAATGAAGTTGTTTATGTATGTATTTAAATAAACTTAATAACCTGTGGTATTGAGTTTATTGGCATTATTATATGAGTAGAAATGAGGAATACACAAATGAAATGCAGTCTAGTGGCTTAGACTTACATAATTATCCAAGATTTCAATGATATTTTATAATTGAATATCTTGTGTTACCTGATCTAATTAAGATTAAATTATTTTATAATTAAATTCGAGTAAAATTTTAGTAAAGATTATAGAGTATTCATTATCAAAATTTGATAATAATAATAATAATAATAACAATAATTTTTAATATAAAATTTTTACTATTATTTTTATTTATAAATTTTTTATTATTAACATAAAATTTATTAAAATTTCTAAATTGTTCTAAGTTTTAATTTAGTTTTTATAAATTAATTTTGATTTATTTATATAATATTTATATATACTTGATTTTAAATTTATTTTAAGTAGGTATTTAACAAGAATGACTATTTAAAAAATAATTTAATATATTCGAGTATTGATAACAATTTAAAATTTTAATAAAATGTTTATAAAATTCGAATATCTTATCATAAAATAAAATTTACTTTAAAATACTTTAAAAAAATGAATATTCCAAATGTTAACATTAATTCTTAATATTTTATGAGTTTTTGAAGCCCTTGAAAACCAGTCCAATCCCATCTTCAAAGATAACCCAAGTGCAGAGAGGGACATCAGCCACTTTTGTTTTACTTTGATATAATTATTATAGGGACTATATATATATATATATAAACACAGCTGGCCTGTGGTCTCTGACACCGTCAGCTCCCATTCACTTCAAATTTAATCCAATGCTGCCAGCCATGGCACCATCTTACCAACAAAATGGTAAGAGAACTTGAAACTTGAAAATGAAAGGAATAAAGGATATCGTCTTTTGACAAACCGACCACATATTTATTTGTGGTCTCTTTGCACCTAAATCCATTCATAAACAAGTATTAATTATCATTAACTATGTATAGATAAACATAGATAAGCATAGTGTCTTATTGGCATTGCAAAAAAATTAAGGATAAATGAGCTAGGGTCAAGTCCCAAACTCCCATCCACTAATCTTTCATAAAACCCAACCCTAACTACATATTAGGATGGCGAATTTATTATTCGTCATGTGTTTGCTTGTGTCATGAAGTCATTATCTCTTTATCAAAAAGTTAACTTAATGAGATGTATAATATCTATGCTTATTACTTCTAAAGCGAAACCTTTACAGCAGGCTTTCGAGTTGGTAATTAATTAGTGATGTTTTTCTTGTTTCAGTCACTTTTTTCTTCCTATTGTCTCAGACCAGTCATGACTTTCACGAAATGCTGTTCAACTCTTCAAACCAAAGCAATTATATAATCTACATATATTCAGCTTGGTAAGAAGAAGCTGCTTATTACTTATCCATATATGTTCTATGAGTTTTCGAAACCCTGGAAAAGAAGTCCCATCCCATCTTCAGAGAGTACCCAAGTGGAGAGAAAGAGAGAAAGACATCAGGCAGTTTTGTTTTGCTTTGATAGATTATGGCAGGGAGCACATAAAAACAGCTAGCCTTGTGGTTTCTGACACCGCCAGCTCCCATCCACGTCAAATTTAATCCAATGCTGCTTCCAGCCATGGCACCATCTTAACAACAAAATCCTAGAGAACTTGAAATTTGAAAATTAAAGGAATAAATGGTTAACAGAACACATATCACTTGTGGTCTGTGCACATATTACTTGTGCAACTCCTGTCCAAGATCTTGAGAACCTTCATGTAAGCTTTCCTTTTTCTTTTCTGGTCAAAGGTGATTTGTGTTATGTTGGAGTTAGCCTGACTGAATAAAGAACTGATGAAAGATGGAGTGGCTGAATTCAACTTGAGTGAATGGTTGAAGTCTCGTTTCTTCTCGCTTGAATCTAAACTGCTTTCAGGCCTTCTTTTCGCTTGGTTGCTGAGAGACCCATGTACATATTATCAATCTTAGGTTCTTCTTAAAAAGTTAACTTACGGCAATTATATAATCTACATACATTCAACTTGCTAAAGAATAAGTTGCTTATTACTTGAAAAGCAGTCCCATCCCATCTTCAGTGATTACCCAAGTGGAGCGAGAGAGAGAGGCATCAGCCATTTTTGTATTTGCTTTGATATAATTAATGCAGGGAGTATATATAAAAACAGGTAGCCTGTGGTTTCTGAAACCGTCAGCTCCCATTCACTTCAAATTTAATCCAATGCTTGCCAGCCATGGCACCATCTTCCCAACAAATGGTAAGAGAACTTGAAACTTGAAAATGAAAGGGATAAAGGATATCGTCTTTTGACAACCGACCACATATTTATTTGTGGTCTGTGTGCACGTAAATCCATCCATAAAAAAGTATTACTTATCATAAACTATGTATAGATAAACATAAGCATAGTGTCTTATGGGCATTACATAAAAATTAATGAGAAATAAGCAAGGGTAAAGTCCCAAACTCCCATCCATAATCTTTCATAAAATCCAACCCTAACCATATATTACAATGGCAAATTTATTATTTGTCATACTTTTACTTGTGTCATGAAGTCATTATCTCTTTATAAAAAGATTAATTTAATGAAGTATATAATGATTAAGTTTTTCAAAATCTGATACATGATTGAAACATTTTATTTATTTTATTTGAAACATTTAACGTAATATTTTTTTTATCTAATTTAAGTTATGTATTAATTTGTGACCATTAACCATCTCACTTATTTTTTTTTAAGATGTTTGATGTAAATTGGATATATTCTGATATTATTTTATCATGAGATATTATATTATTTTTAAAAAAATTAAATAGCATCTATGTTTATAATCTTTTTATAATCTCTCTCGTGTAGGATTGAAACAGGAGGATTAATTGAAACAACTTGCTTATTACTTTTAAAGCCTTTGATTCGACGTTTGTATTGCTTTGATAAATTATTGCAGGGAGTACAAAAAAACAGCTAGCCTTGTGGTTTCTGACACCGTCAGCTCCCATTCACTTCAAATTTAATGCAATGCTGCTAACAACAAAATGGTAAAGAGAACTTGAGACTTGAAAATGAAAGGAAAAAAGGGTTGCTGCTTTGGACAACCTAACATATATTACTTGTGGTCTGTGCACCGAAATCCAGTCATAAACAAGTATTCCTTGTAATAAACTATATGTGTATATAAATTTAAGCCTAGTATCTTATTAGCAATAGATTAAAATTAACGACAGCTGAGCAACCAAAAGAAAAGGTCAAGTCCCAAACTCTCCCAGCCACTGATCTTCCATAAAACCGAACCCTAGCCACAGATCTTAGTGGGAAACTAATATATTGTCATCTGGTTGCTTGTGTCACGAAATCATTGCACTCTTGTCAAAAAGTTATCTTGCTGGGATAGGTAATGTAAATATTTATAAATATTTTAAAATTTTTTTACTTGTCATATATGTGATTGAAGCACTTTATTTATTTATTTTAAACACTTGATATGATATTTTTTTTATTTAATTTGGATTGTATTTTTATTGTTGTCAATTATTTTACTAGTTTTTTTTAAAAGTATTTGACTTGAATTGAATCTGTTTTAATACCATTTTATCATGAGCATTACCTTTTCTCTAAAAAGTTAACCTAATGGGATTATACTGTTTATATTCATAAACTTCTCAATATCTCCTTAACATAGGATTGAAATATCTTGCTTACTTCTTCTGAAACATTTATATGACACTCAGTACGATAATTTAGAAAACTAAAAAACTTTTACCAAAAAATTTGGTTGGGAAACTATTTTATCATAAAACATTATTTTTATCCTAAAGAGTTAACTGACGGTATATGTAGCATCCAGACTTATAAGTCTTTGCAGCAAGCATTCAGGTTGGTAATTAATTAACAATGCCGTTCTAGTTACAGTCACTTTTTAATATGCCACCAAGTCATGACTTCCACGAAATGCTGTTCAACCCTTCAAACCAAAGCAATTATATAATCTATATATATTCAACTTGCTAAAGAATAAGCTGCTTATTACTTATCCATATGTATATATTCTATGAGTTTCGAAACCCCTTGAAAAGCAGTCCCATCCCATCTTCAGTGATTACCCAAGTGGAGAGAGAGAGAGAGAGAGAGGCATCAGCCATTTTTGCTTTTGCTTTGATA